TTTTATTGTTACTTTAGATTTTGGACAAGGTAGAATCATGTCTACGTATTTCTTTAGTGTTTTTTTTTCGAAGAAAAGTGAGACTAAAATAGTGATTTACGCATGGTTTGATCAACATCTGAATATTAATATTAATTAATAATAGATAAATTGATAGAAAGGTTGAAACATCCGTCATGTGATCAGATCTTTACCAAGAGTAGCGTTTCCATTCGGAGATTTCCGATAGCAGTTCGAAAATGCATCTCAAAGCTGTTATTGATTATAGAGCAATTTCTGATTATTTACATTTTAAAGAATTTAATATGGAAACTATAGTCTATACCGGCGCCAACAAATCACCGGTATTTTTGAAATCTGAATGCAAACTCGAGCACATCCCCCGAGTTCCGAACTTCATCCGACCGGATTGTACACTCTTGGCACACATATCGCCAAAATTGCGAAGAAGGCCTACAGTTAAAAATCATTTAGAAAAAAGTTTATCTATGTTATTTCTTTACGAGATAAATTTGTTCCTCTAAGAGAATGCTGAGCGCTCGATCTGTGTTCGAGATAGTTCTAATTTTGAAGAATCTTAAACGGCCCCGGTGGTGAAACTCAATTGAACCAAACAGGACACTGATTATGTACTATACGTGCACGGACGAATTATAAGGGTAATGAATGCTATAGACGTATGTAACAGGTGAATCATCGCGGTTGCTATTTTGTAAAGCGAGTAACAATTTTGAGGTGTGTTTGATTTCAAAAAGAAGCAAAGCGCTCCAAAAGGAGTAAAGCGGTCCATAAGTAGTTGATGCAGTTGAAACTTTGAGGTTTGGAAAGGAATTAAAATACGTAATAGTGAGGATTTTATTAAAGTTTAAAAATTTGTTTGTGAGGATATACAAGCCACGAAGGTTTCTTAGATTCTTTAAAATTTCATATACCGCCTTGCGTAAAAGTATCAAAATAATATCGATTTTGCAGTAAATGGCTACCGTCTATAAATATTTATTGTGCGGTCACAAGTTTATTTAAAGGGAGACATTTTTGTATGTTACATAACATGCTGTCAAAACTAACGCGTATACAATTTGGTTGAGTTTTCATTTTTGATACGTTTCTCAATGATGGGAAAAAAACTTTAAAAATATGTTTCAAGAGAAAGTCTGAAGTTCTACGGTAAGCCGCTTGCTCAAGTGATTTATACAGTATGCTCCATAAATATGCATGTCTGGAACGATACTTTGACTATAAGAAGTGTAGCCAAAGCTAAGATGGCGGAAATTGGACAGTTTTTGGACGTCAAACCCACTCCTCTTTCAACTGTCGTTGTCTGCGCGGTCGGACACGAAGCTGCAAGGAGCGTGCCTGAATTTCGTATTTTGACTTCAATTCAAAGACTATTATGATTATGATTTTATGCCTTTCCTTTAACCAATGCAGACAATTAAAACAATGTGAAAAAAATAAACTAAGATTTTACATGCAAAGCAAATTAACCATCATGGGCCGTATGTTCAATTCCTACCAGAGGACCTTGTGCTGCATTCTTCGCAGTCGTTCCTGGTTAGGTCTTAAAATGTATATATTCTGACTTGGATTACAAACCCTAACATTCTAATAAAAATTGCCTGTTAGTATAGGTAATCACACGGGAAGGAGTGCAATTAATGATTAACACTACGAGTGATATTTGAAAAATGTGCCAAAATTGCACGAGCCGCCGAGGCGAGTGCAATTTGGCACATTTTTCAAATATCACGAGTCGCTTTCTTTATATTTCAACTGCATTTTGTCAAGAGTTTTTAATTCTTTTGTAAGCAATTTGGTATAAACAAACTTGGGAAATGATTATAAACTCATAAAGGCACATAACTTAAACTAGAACGCAAGATTCAAACTCAAACAACATATTTTAGACTAAGAAAATCTTTATAAATTGTATTTCAAACTTACATAGTCACGTTTCGCTGCATCCCGCCAAGATTATTTCTTAAGACTGTTTCCAGGTATTTTCCACAAGCTCTTTTTGCCATACAATGTTTCTTAAACTCATTCTTGTGCCAAAATTCAGTTAAATTTGTCCACATTTGTTAGAAATACTTATCTAAATTTCGCCGCCATATTGGATTTTGTTGTTTTGATTTCCCGCTCCCCCCAGCCATCACGAAAATCATTAATTGCACTCCTGGAGAGTGCAATTAATGATGGTAATAGAACGAATAGGAGTGCTATTAATGCCATAATCATACGAGTGATTACAAAATCAACCGACCGCGTAGCGGGAGGTTGATTTGTTAATCACGAGTATGATTATGGCATTAATAGTACGACTTTAATTCGTTCTATTACTTATTAATTATTTATCTTCTGTAATCAAACTGTTTAAAAAATACAATTTGTTGAAGTTCAATATAATTATTAAATTTTTGTCACGACAATTCTTAGTGAAATAGCAGAGGTGAAATAGTACAATTTTGAATTATTGTTTATCATATATAATCAAATTAACATATTATTAACTTCCGGGCATTATTTCCGGTATAATCACATGACAACATTTGTTTGAATTATTCAAAACACAATTGGGAAGCCATGTTTGTATGTTTATAACGTGTTCAAAATAGTGAAGTTCTTTAGTCCAATTAATCATCTGAATTGGATTGATCATGAAATATAACTCCTGGTTGTGTTTAGTTCGGTGTCTTCTGCTGGATGAACAGGTAGGTCATTTTCGTCAGAAAATATATAATTTAACAACCCTCGAAAACGAGATCTGCATTCGGCAATGCCGACTAGTAGCAGTATTAAAATGCCGACCTATCAACCTCCCATGTCGGCAATGTTTTGCCGACCTTAATTCACTTTAATAATCTTTTTTGGTGCTTATAGCTGTTAAAAAGTCAGCGATTATAGAATTCGATGCACTTTGGTGTAAGGTTTAAGAATTAACGTGTATATTTATGATATAATTTAGGTAAAACTCTAATAGAAAAGGCTTCGTGACATTTATACTTTTCAATGATTCGTAAATACGTGATTACTAGTGCAGGCTACTAGTGCTCCAAGACATGGAAACAGATTTTTAAAAATGCCGAGATGTACCGAGCTAGGTCAGGTTTAGGTCGGCATTTTTTTTCCGACCTCAATTTTGACGGTTTTCGAGGGCTGATTTAAAAATTAAAAGGTCAAAATTTGTGAATTCCTCCATTTTGGAATTTTTTACAGCAATAAAGAGAATAAAATTCAAAGTTTGTATCCTGGATGCTGATTGGCTAGTTGTAAATACTAGACTGTTTTTCATTGGCTGTAGACAAGAGTGCGATTACAGCTCAGAAAAGGTGCGATTAATGCTCAAATCGCACTCCTGTAAACCAATGAAATTGCAGTATTTGCCACTGATTACAGAAGATAAATAATTAATGAAATAATTGCACTCCTCTTAACCAATCAGATTGCGGTAATTTTGTCATGTATATAATAAATGCTTTTATTACCTTTCTTCCAACTATTTGGTTATGGCGTTTTGTTTTCTTCGGATGAGTCTTTGTCCGCTTTGGATCCATAAAATTTGCAGCCAAGTAAGCGCCAAAATTTATGTTGTCTCCACAACCATCTAGGATTGAGACATCGTTTCTGTCTCGTCGACGCAAAGCACCACAGCCACAGTATTTTATTTTCTGTGTCACGCAAGCCTTTGCAATCTCCATCATCACACTGGCTGCAGTTAGAGCTTGTACGAATGCTGTCTCACGAGAACCTATGCGTAAAATTCAGTGTTATATAGCTACTATATATTGTTAATTAAAAACTGAAAATATCATTAATAATTCATAAAACTTGTGGCAAATCATGTCATCCATAATATGTCACGTGGAGTGACTTTATATCTGATAGAACTCATCTTCATTAGTATTCTTTATATAACTGTTCATCCTAATTAGTATGATTAAACAATTGTTCATCCTAATTAGTATTTGTTTGTAGTCGTATTTCAAGCTATTCAAAACACTCGTTGTCGTATTTTATGAGATATAAAACGCGCAGCTGCGCCTCGTGTTTCATATCTGATAAAACATTCCTACTCGTGTTTTAAATAATACATATTTAATTATACGCTTATCTCCGGTGCGAGGTTAAACTAGGGAAATAAATGTAGGTTTACGCGTAATTGTCGGTCCTACGCTAGCCCGCACACACAGAACCAAAAATATAAACGTGTTTGCGAGTCTGCGGCACAACTTTATTGATCTACTTCAGCTTTTACCAAATGTTAGTGACGAATCATCTCATATGATGCCTTGATACATGCAGCTTATCATAGAAAGTATAAGCATGCAGAAACCCCTCTCTTTCGAACCAAACAACTGTACTTACTGATAAAGAATATATTATCATAACAGACCGAACGATTATATTTTAACATAAAATGTTTTTAAATTAGTAAACCACCGACGGACTGAACGCTGGCTTCCTACCAGTAGTAGCCATAGTAACAGCAAACACTCTCAATAACATAAGTTTCAAACATAAATAAATATAGCGAACTTAAGCAAGGCTTGGTCTAGTACGCGGACATGAAGAGAAACAGTCCTAAATTTTACTCTTCAAAAGTATAAATTATCGATTAAAACAACGGAAATTAGCCGTATAATGACATTTATAATATTGTATAGAACAGAAATTATTAATTAAAATCAAGATCACATGAAACAATGAAACAGCTTGATCTCTTCCGAAAATAAAGGCTACGTCTTAATTGTAAAAAGCGTTGAAATTAAGACATTGCCTTAATTTGAACCCTAACCCCCACCTAACCCCCACCTTAATTATTCAAAGGATTGTTGTGGAAAATGTGGTGTTCTGGGATTGAATTTGACATAACTGTTTCCCAGCTTGAAATGTATAGCCGTTTAATACACAAAACGTGATAATCTGTGATTTGAAAAATTAAAGATCGCCAGATATGGATTAGATTATGGTGAGATTAGGGTTAGGAGTGAGAGGTTAACTTCAATCCCTAAATTAAACTGTATAAATTAATTTTATGCAGAGTCAATTGAATAAGAAGGTTAAGGAACTCGATGCAGACATAATATATAATTATATACCTCATTGTCTACGTTTTTGTCTTGGTTTATGCATGAAATGGTCAATTCATTATCACGTATCGGTATGCATTTTATTTTCGCTACAGCAACTAATAACTATATAATGTTTTAATTCAATGATTAGAGAGGTTCAGATTTCACTCCCACTACCGCTACCGCTACCATTAAGATGCCATTAACCAATCAGATGCCATATATCATATATTTCATATATATGCGGTAGTGAAACAGCCTCGTACCCAGGCACTTTGTTTGGCTTTGATGTTGCGTAACGCGCGCGCGGGGGGACACGCGTGTGGGGAAAGGGAAAATTCGAAACGAAGCGCCTGGGAGAAAATTCTTTCAAGATGGCGAACAAACAAGTGATTTGCATTTTTGTCTTGACAACGATACTGAAGATGGTCAGTATAAAAAGGTAAACATTTTAAAATTCAAATTACTATTTTAGTATTTCATGGAATTCATGAAAAAATGTTGGGAATAAGTGGTAGGTAGACTTTATCTTTTAGAAAATAAGCCACAAATATTTATATGTGGATGTAGGTTTAAAAACCTTTTTGTATTTCCTGTAACTTTATGCGATAATTTCATCCCGAAAAATGGTTGCACAGCACCCGTAGTGAACAACGCACCTCGATTCCCGCGCGTGCGTCACGCAACCAGTTAGCACATCAAAACGCCTGGGACGAGGCTGGTAGTGAAAGTCAAATCATGGGTACGAGGTTGAAGTCAAATTTGAACCTCGTTAACGTAAACAATACAATGAGTAATTAAACAATACACACACGACGATGAACCAACTATTGTTTACATCAATTACAAAGATAAAACGACTTTTCGAGCTTTCGGAAATTTGTCGTCTCTGAACCTTGACTTAGACATTATTAGGTCTTTGAAAGGTTGTGGTCACTTAACGTATGACGGAACCCGAATTAAATGGTCGCAGGATCTTCAATCACTAACGAATTTCGTTGAAAATATTGTCGGCCTACGAGGCAATTGGTCATCACCTGGTGGTAAAGCTAAGAGGTTTACCAGCGTAGATTTTGATCTGATCGCGACGTGGTACCCGGGCAAACAGAATTCGCTATTATTCCAAGGAAAGGATGGTGATCTGCTCAAGAATTATCTGGTGAGTGTCTTAGATATAACTTGTATTGGCCAAACAACCACGGATACGGACACTGATTTTATGACCAACATAGCGGATTCGGTATTTGAAACAGAGACTGCAGAGATATCTCCAGTTAAAACATGCGAAATTATCACTAACAATAACCCGGCAGTTACTGAATCGACCCCGTTGAATGTACTGGGATTGCCAGTAAATGAGGCGAAAAACAGGTTTCAACTCACTTTAATTATAAAATATACGGAAAATTACAAAATAATAATTAGTGGTAAAACACTGTTTTCCTTCGCACGCCATATTAGCTCCCATGCGCATGCTCTAACAAAACGTAAAAAACATCGTTCAAAAGGCGATCGCAGAGATTATTGTCTACAACTTTACTACAACCCAATACACCGGAAGGACTGGGGTCGATGCGATCGCGTCTTAAAATCTGAATGTAAATTTCTCTAATGCATTGTTCACTCAATACTATATAATGTCACTGTCCGTTCATACACTGTCTTTTGCTTCCGACTTGGTTTCCTGGTCTTGATCCATATCCACTGGTACTAATAACGATAATCGCTGAGCACTTCGTGACACAATGACAGCCTCGTTATGTCCTTTGTATTTTTGTACCTTTTCTCGAATTTGAAAATTCTTGTACATCACATTTACTCGACGAACTTTTCCGTCTTGACTGGGAAACACTTCTTGTACTATACCTAAACGGTAATCTCCTCGCAAGGTATTACGGTCGGCGATTATTACAACATCTCCTGGGCGCAGGTTACGGTTGGCTGTATTCCACTTGCGACGAATAACCAAGGCTGGGGCGTATAACTCCGTCCATTTCTTCCAGAACTCGTCTGTCACGATCTGGACAACATGATAACGCTTTCCTGGATTATTACCGTTAGGCTGCCATCCACCAGGATTCTTCGCCGTTGCTCTGCCCAGTAACAAGCTTTTGGGAGTAAGGATGTTTAATTCAGAATCCGCACCCGGGAGGGTTCCGATAGGTCTTTCATTGAGGAGGCTCGTGGCTTCGCTACACACCGTCATGAACTCTTGGACTGAAAGACGTTGGTTATTGATTGTGAAATGAATAGCTCTCTTGGCACTCTTCACCAGGGATTCTACAGCTCCTTGGTACCAGGGACTATCAGCAGGGCCGAAGATCCAGGTCAATATCCATTCTCTGTGCCACTTTTATGTAGGGATTGTCGGTCAATGCTCTTCCAGGTTTCCGTGAGTTCTCTTTCCGCACCAATTAGTTGTGATCCGGGATCACTATATATGATTTTGGGCCAACCACGAACGCTGACGAATCTGCTGAGGGCCATTAGGAATGATTTAGTATCGTACCCGAACACAGCTTCAAGTGGACTGCTCTCATAACTAGATCTGTGAAGATTACTCCGTACGCTTTACCACTTGTTCTTTTCTGTACTTTTCAACGAACCGAGTAGGGTCCGAAAAGATCTATCATAACGTGGTTGAAAGCTGGAGATGGTTGCAATCTTGCTTCCGGTAGTTGTCCCATTTGCTGCTCGAGGAACTTTGCTTCTCGTAGCTTGCACATCTGACATTTACTCTTGATTGATTGAGCGAGTTTGCTTCCTTGGATTACCCAGTAGAGTTGACGGAATCGTGCTAAGGTTGCATCACGACCTCTATGACCAGAAGTGTGAGCTCGTTGCATGAAGAGTCTGGAAACATGTCGGTAGGGCAATAGCTTTTGGAGAGAAGAATCCACTGTCATGGAATTTTTGTTCTTCAGGCGCTGTCCCACTACCCAGAGTCCACTTTCATCTTGGACTGGATTCAAACAAGCGAAACGACCACCTTTTCTGCCTTTGCGGTCAGTTTTTGTCAGTTCACTTTCAAATGATTTCTGAACTTCTTTAACAATAAAGTTCTCGGCTTCTTGTAATTGCTTAACCGAGATGGACAGAGTCCTTCCGCCTTTAAAACTATTCTTCTTCGCAATGTTTAGCAATCTGGCGACGACCCAAATAGCTTTGTTAATACTGCTGAATCGTTCATTAGGGCCATTTATACGGAACAAAATAAGACGCGACTTACATAAGACGCGACTTAGGTAAGACGCGAGTTTGTCGTATAAAAGGTACAAAATTCTTATGTAAGACGCGTCTTGGATAAGACGCGTCTTACTTAAGAACAGGTCTTTTAGCTGTTCTTATTTAAGTCGCGTCTTAAATAAGAAATTTTGGACAAAAAGTCTAACTACACATGCCAGAAACTTGAAACAACGTAAAATTTAATGCCTTGCATATTAAAACAAAAACAACCAAAACAACATTATAGCTATAGCAAATAAATAAGACCAAAGCCGTAGAGAACCATTTATGCGATAACTCCACTTATTTAAGTCGCGTCTTATGTAAGTCGCGACTTATTTTGTCACGTATAAATGGCCCTATTGTCGATCAACAATGCCTCTATGCTCGATGCTGCTGCAACATGGACTTTCTTTTCACCGGAAAGTGGTTCTTTCTTTTGGTTCCATCCCAGACCGAGCACTCGTAAGTTTTCGTCAGTTCCTTTTAACATTATTAGTCCTTGGTCTGAGCTTTCAACACTCTTTTCTGGCAGGTCCAATTTTAACAACTCTTCTTTCACGCGAGGTTGTGTTTCGCCACTGAATTGCCAGCACTTTAGAGCAAATCCTCCTTTGGCAAGGATATCCTCGGATTCCTTGGCAATCTTTAACGCGTCGGGTTTACTTGAACACGAGTCAATCAAATCATCCACGTAACTGGAATGTTTTAGGTGATTTGCGGCTTGTCGACTATCCTGTCGATACAACTCCGCGGTCTTGTAGACAGCTTCTGTGCTGATGGCGGGGGCTGGTGTATCGCCCATGTTGACTCG